ATAGTAAAATACCAAACTCCGGTCCTTGAATAGGATTCGCGAGAGATCGATGGGATCGATTGAATGATATGCTAACTCTTGACTACACTTTCATTTTCTGGTTCGCCTACAAAGAGGATGCACAGGAAGTTTCGAAGTTGTCTGTAGTTGTGTGATGACACAAATTCCTTCCACTCTCTGATTCGCTTACGAAAAGGATGCGCAGAGAGTTTCCAAGAGAAAGTGCACGCGACCGACTGATGTCTCATGCATGCATTAACATTCCCGCCGCGGAGGGAATCGCAGCTCAAAAGAAAGCTTCATATTCTGAAGCTTCAGATATCTGAATTTTACGCTGTCTACCCATCCGTAAGTACTCCCACCATCCTTCACTATGAAACATATTAAACGGGAGCAAAAAGCTGTACAAGCTTCATTTTGCGGCTTTTTGTACGATCCTTTGATGATCCCGGCCGGACATCTTTTTTTCAAATTCATTTTCTTCCTTCAAAGTTAGCGAAAACCTTCCGAAGTCGTGCTGATTATCTGATTCAACAGTGCTAAGCATGATGCTGATAAGAAGAAATGGGTTTTTGAAATATGGATTTTTTTGATAGACCCAACCTTCGACTTGTGGTTCATCGCAAATTTCATGACTTCGAAACATTGTTCTTACAACACGATTAGTACTGTTAGGTTAGATAAACAGCAACTTTGGAGCCAACTTTGAAATGTTTTTATTGACTTCAAAAAAAGAAAATGACCTTATACAAAAAGCAGTCGGCAGCCACTCAGACAATCGCCGGGGGCAGGCAGGCGCCGGAAGATACGCTGAACACACCCCACGCTTGACCCTGGTCTAAACCCATGGCGGAAACTGCTCCACTGTCCAAATTCAAGTTGAAGGGTCTTGAGAAGTGCTAGATTCGCCATTCTCGGCTGTCTAAAGTGGTCTCGAAATGTACGCTCGGATTATCCAGGTACGCAAGAAATTTTAGGTCTAGGATTTCCCGAGCCACTGCCTTCAGTAAACTCGCGTCAGTTTGATCAGATTGATAGCCTGGTACCAAAAAGTGAGCGTGCTGGAAGGAATACTCCGAAAACAACCCAAAGCCTAAAAAATGTGGACGCGAGCAGCCAAAATTGCGCCCATAACAATTCATTAATAGGATCCCTGAAAGACAGCAGTCTGCGCTTTCATGGGCAATGGCAACCCAAGGATGTTGCCGAAAGTTGACGCCCAGTGGAGCCTATTTGCATGAAGTAAGCCCCACCCCTACGCGAGCGTGATTGGTGAGTGATATAATCCGAATCGAACAGAAATTCGATTATTCGAATAAAACATTCGAATATACTCGTATTCGAAATTCGAAATTCGGAGTTCTTCGATTTTCGAATAATATTCGAAACTCGAATAATCAAAAAACGAGGATTCGAATAATATTCGAAAACTCGAATAATCAAAAAACGCGGTTTCGAATAGATTTTATTCGAATGTTTTATTCGAATGTTTATTCGAATTCGTATTCGAATGAACTCCGTGTTCAGATTATTCGACTTTGTTGCAGATCCAAGTGCTGAGTATTAAGCTCACTTCGTCCGCGTTTTTTTTCGCAAAACTCGGTAATGCATCTTTTGCAATCGTTATGAACTATGAACTGTATGGAGAGTAGCATTCTTCCGATTGCTTGACAGTAAGCAAATCATATGTAGATTTTAATTGATGCTTTTTCGATCAGTGAGATTGTTCGCACTGCTATTGGCACCAAATCAGCAAAGAAGCCATCAAATTTAAGCGTTTTGAGTTCATATATTGAAAGTGTTTTGAGTTGCTTGTTCTACTTTCTTTGCATTGCTCATACTTGCGGTACGCAATGCCCACACTAGTGAGCACTCTTGCTTGCATAAATTATAGTGCACAACGGCCTTTACGGTTACCTTAGGTTATTTTTTGCGAATTGGTGTATCTTGAGTAAAGAATATCTTGAGTAACGCAGTTGTAGTGGAGGATTAGACGGTTTAGATCGCCGTATGCGATTTGCCAGTTACGAGATGTCTTCAAATGTAACACCAGTTTATCACAAATGTTTAGCATATACAACTTGCTAAAAAGATAAATGCCCTGCATTCTGTACCTTTAGAACAAGTTAGAATTTGACCATTGCCAAACCACGTCGCCACTGAAATGCTCGCAGTATGCCCGGAGCTATAGGGGCATTCGCTCTCGCTTCACGGAATAAACCACATGCCTTCGTAGCCACCTTCGCCTTCGTAGCCACTTTCGCCTTCGTAGCTACCTGCCTTCGAGTTACGGGTCGGGGAGTTGGTACAAAAGGGTAAGTGAGGGTGCTGATTATGGATAAAAATTTACTTTATCGATTTTTGGAAAATTTTGAGCTACGAGGTTGGGAGTTGATGCTGGGGAGGTGGGGGGGGGGTAAATGAGGATGCTGATTAAAGCCAAAGTCTATTTTATCGATTTCTGCGATTTTTGGAAAATTTTGAGCTATGAGTTGGTATAGGGGATACGAGGGTGCAGGTTATGATTGGATCGGCTTTAGCCAGATATGTCGGCAAGTTTGAGATATGGTTGCTCTAGTTATTCGATAAATTATTCGAATATTTATTCAAAATTCGACTTCCAATGTTCGAATATATTCGATATTCATCTATTCGGAATTCATTCATTCGAGAATATTTGAAGTCGCGACTACGACTAATGTTTAGTAGGGTAAGGACGACTTATCTCTACTTGGCTGAATAAAGCTACAAAACTCAAGTATCACTTTTCTCAATTTCACACATGCAGCCGGGCAGGCATGCCAAGTAGGTCGGTCAGATATAGAGGCTGTGTCACCCAGCTCAGACAATCGCCGGGGGCAGGCGGGCACCGGAAAAATAGATTGCTGATCTCTCGCACCTCGCCCGCGGATTTTTTGGAAAGCAATTAGGACTTTTCGGAAGACCGCTTGCTGAGTCAGCGGATTTTTGAGAGACCGCCTGTTGAATTTTTTTTTCGCTCTTATCTTTTGCAGATATATTGCTGAATCTCTGAGGAATCGAGAACTCAGCAAGCGGTCTTCCGAAAAGTCCTGATTGCTTTCCAAAAAATCCGCGGGCGGGGTGCGAGAGATCAGCAATCTATTTTTCCGGTGCCCGCCTGCCCCCGGCGATTGTCTGAGAGCATCGGTTGCGGAAGTCCACGAGAGGAGGCTGCGCGAGTGCGCCGCAGGGGGCGGAGCAGGGCCCGGCACGACTCAGATAATCGCCGGGGGCAGGCGGGCACCGGAAAAATAGTTTGCTGATCTCTCGCACCCCGCTCGCGGATTTTTTGCAAAGCATTCAGGACTTTTCGGAAGACCGCTTGCTGAATTCTCGATTCCTCAGAGATTCAGCAATATATCTGCAAAAGATAAGAGCGAAAAAAATTCAACAGGCGGTCTCTCAAAAATCCGCTGACTCAGCGAGCGGTCTTCCGAAAAGTCCCGATTGCTTTGCAAAAAATCCACGAGCGGGGTGCGAGAAATCAGCAATCTATTTTTCCGGTGTCCGCCTGCCCCCCGCAATTATCTGAGAAGTTGGTTTCTAGGGTTTCTGAAAACGAAGTCTCCCCTGACTTTCGGAAGTTTTACGAAATCCCCTTTGACCTACCTGCCTAGGAGAAGATGAAAACAAGAAAGATTTATTAGTCTGAGAGAAAAGACGTAGGATAAGAGTGAAACTCCAAATTGGAGCTGAATACTACGCATGCACAGGACTTTGGCACTAGAGCGCGATATTTAACAAAGCGAGAAGAAATGAAGGCAAAAAACAAAGGAAAGGCAATGATATGAAAATGTTTTTATGCTCAGGGATAGATTTTTGACCGGGAATCCGTCCATGCTAAAAAGATCCCAAACTTATGTGAAGTGACGAAAATATATGCTCCAGACGATCTCAGATCGTCTGGTGGCCGTCTGGAGACGATCTAACTTTGAAAAAGGTATTACTTTACATAAGTTTCCAAATCTTTTTACATAATACTTTGCAAATAATTTTCTATAGATACAGTCCAATTTTGGTGTCATATGCTTCTGTGTGCGTTGTAAACAAACAATTTGTTTATTTAAGCCCTGCTTTCAAATCGCGCGCACTTTTCGCCATAGACGATAGAGCATGTCAATCGTGTGATAACTTGTCCGAAAAGCTTGTGTTCGACTAAATGGCGCTTATTCTTGGTGCTCGGTTCCGACTCGTCAAAAACGATATCCCCTTTGCTGCTTGCTTCAAAAACGAAGTCCAGTCTGTTTCCAGACGATCTGTGCCGGCGCTGGGACGGAGCACTCGAGCGTGAGAGCTGCCTGTTGTGTTGAACTTTGCAACCGCGATTAACATATCATGTATGAACGTTTTTTCATTTGTCAACCATATTGTTTCCTTCAATCTGTTTATCTCATCCATGATGCTTAATTCAGACCTTCACCAGCGTTGGCATCCGGGACAGTTCACAAAAAGTACAGATCTAATTTTTGGGGTTGCATGAGTTTCTAGCCATAATGTCATGCTATTGCAAGTGATCAAACCCAGTGTTAGTGCAGCTTGTGATCTGTGAACCTGGGTAAAGAAAAGCACTTAGCGAAGTTATTTTGAGTCATCCAATGTGAAAAACTTCTTAAAACGCACGCGTGCATTACAAAAGAGAATTAAAAGCCTAACAGACACTTATAGAAACTGACTGTCCAATGAGCAGGTAAACAAGCTAGATGAGTAAGTTGAATAAAATTTTATAAACATGAGCACAGGCCACTTTTTGCGCCCCAATACTATTTCCACTGCCTGCGTCGCGCGTGCGTAGTCTGATCTCATGGCTATGCGCGACCGATGTTCGATGACCAGCCTATATTCCTCAACTGATAAATATGTTATGAGGTTTTAATGCATTGCCAGATAACTATTTTCTCCAACTATCATTCGTTTATTTTCTTTGCAAGCAGGAGATTTGCGCATTGAATCAATTACGGATGTCAATTAGCCACGAAACCTCGGTGTTTATTTTGCATAGAAAGTTTATATGACTGTGTAAGTTAGGCACATAAAAAAGGAATAGAATGACTGGTGCATCACCCGTGAATACATCAAAACAATGGAATGCTATTGAGTGAATCTAATAAAGGAAAGAAATGCGGTATTAGTGTTACAGAAGTTTCTATCCTAGCGATTTAAAAAGTGAACAATAAAAAAAAGAGTTGAGCGTAAGCGAGTCTGGCAAAGGCCTAGTAAAGATTATAGAACACTCAGATAGTGTCCAAATGTAAGAACTTAGAATAAAATGATGGTGAGCAGTTTCGCTATATTTATGTGTGACCCGTACTCTTCACCGGGGACAGACTGATTGAAGATCATCAGATAGGTGAAGTAGTTAGCAAATTCAACATTTTGCATCAAGATAAATGACTTTGGGCGGATATCGATGTTCAACGCAAATTAGTTGAAACTTCAGGAAAAGGTAGAATAGAAGGCAGGCTGCAATGGCGAATGAGCACATCGAGAGCACCACAATCAGCTAAATTTGATTCTTGGTGTTACGAAAATGTTAGTTTCTGGAACTTACCCATCCCTGCAATGCAAAACAGCATTCAGTGTCGTGTAGACCGCAGCAATTGAACTGGTGAAAGGCAGATGCTTGAGGGCATTGGATGTGTCTGAAAGACCAGTATAATTTTGAAAAAAGTTTAGTTTTTACGCTTATCATAGAAAAAATCCTTAACAAGGGAAGATTTTGAAAATAATTTCTTTGTGACTCACACTCTAACTTTTGTGATTCATACTCTAACTCTACTCTTACAATATGGAGCAAATCGTCGACAGCTTTTCACTACTGTAGGGTTACGGTAGGAATTTTAGCAAACAGCGCCATTGTGAATCGGTTACAAAAAAAAACTCATTCTGAAAATTCTGTAGTAAGTTTTTCACGCAGACTAATCTTATTGCATAACTTTTCGCTAATTTCTAGGCTTGCCATAAAATTACATTTTTTGTGGATTGAAAAAACAGTCCCTATGGAATACCTCCACTCATGAATGAAGCACTGCAGTAAAACGTAGATTTAATATTTGAATTTAGCGGCTCTGATTACTAGTGGGAAAGCTTTCAGCTTGCTTGGTTTCTTCTGAGGCGAAATATGGCTCAGTGGCTCAGAACCGTTTCCAAAGTCTCTACAGTAATCCTACAGTAATGGAAAGCGGTCGATCATTTGCTCCATACTGTAAATCTAAGTTGGAGCCAGCATTGCAGACTTTTGGGAAGAGAGATATCAAACAAGTATACATACTTTCGGAACAACGAGTATATAATCACGATTTGTGGTAGATTAGATCTGCCTTCAAACAAGATAAGTCGCTGATGTCATACGTCCAAATTTATTTTTTTGCACATATTTGGCATTACTTACTTAGTAACCGAGTTTGCAAGCAACTAACTGATTGATTGTGTAGTTCCGGCACCATTGTCCAAGATTCTTTTCTTTCCATGTCGTGGGTTTCGGCTTGCTCAACGTTGCTTCATCTTCCATGGGCTCCGGCCATATTACCATGGCAGAAACAACAAATCGAACAGATAAAAGTAGTAATAAACACCGGATCATACCCTAAAGTAACAGCAATTTCTTTAAGTCACAAAATGACGAGAAATAGAGAGTATAAACACGAAGAAAAGGTTTAGAGCTAGATAATTCGAATAAAGATTTCGATAAACGACTACAGGAAAAACGCGCTGTGTAAAGTGAATACCTGAAAGCAGAAAGCATTTATAAAGGGGATTAAACTTAGCAAAGGAGTAAGTAAAATGATAACAAGACACAGTGAACGATGAGAGGTGATCTTGAACCAAAGGGTAAAAAATGGTTGGGCCGGGCATACTTCAAGCAATTTCAGTCGCGACGCGATTTGGCAATTTGTCAGGAGTCTTAAGATCCAACGTTAGCAGACTGCACATGCGTAGTGTGTATGACCTAAGTGGATTGATAAAATGCCCTATCTTCTGTACATTTAACATGTGCTTACAGTGAGTTATGGACAGTTGGATTGTTGCCAAATCGCGTGAAGTATGCCCGGTCCTCTAGAGAGAAATTCAAAGTATGATTGCAATGATTATAATAGAAGCCTGATCCTACAGTTTGTTGGTTCTAAACATCCAGCGACATTTTTGAAACTTTCACCAGATTAGGAGGTAGGTAACAATTCAGACAAAGCTGTATTTGAACATATGGTTATTCAGTAAGGCAAAAATTTACAAAAGAAATTTATGCAACGAACGTAGGCTGACTCAGACAATTCACCGGAACTTCCGCAGGACAAGCAGAACTTGCAGCGTTTCCGCAGCACTTTCTTAACCATTGAGAAAGGCACGCTCCAAAATGCGAGGTTTCCGCAGGAAATTGACGTCACAGCGATCGTAAAGCGGAACTTCCGCAGCACTTTGCATAAAGCGCTGCGAAAGTGCAGTGAGGCTCGTAAGGTTTCCGCAGCACTTTGACCTGCCAGCATTTCCGCAGGATTTTGAGAGCGCATGCATTCGCGATTGCGAAATAGCGAACGCAATATCAACAGCGCATAGCGCACTCTTTTCTTCCATACTGTTTCGCTTCTGTTTCTCCTCTTTTCTTTCTCTTTTTTCTTTCTTTCTTCAATGTTGGCGCAAGTAAACCTATACTCATCCATACTCTAAGTAAAGGACATTCGTTGACGACAGCCCCGTTTCGTGCATTTACACCACCGCGGGCGTGCTTTTAAAGCCTTTCCAGCTCTACAGTATGCTACAGCGCGCAGGGAATTCGCAGCTCGCAGCACCCCTGTCCTTTAACCTCTTCCGTATTTCTCATCTTTTTTCCTTTTTAATCTTCACTTCAGGCACTTGCTCATCAGTTACTCGTTCTCCTTTTCTTTGAAGTTGTCTCGGTCGAGCATTCTAAAAATTCTGCTTTGATGGATACTGAAAGAGCAGGAGAAAAAATTTTGGTACAGTCATTGAATTTGTGCTCCTTTTTACATATCATACAAACATTTTTGAAATTGTAAACTATCGTCCCGGCATAGTTAGGGGAAAGAATTTGCTTTCTTCATGAGCAGTGATGGCTATCATGCCTTCTCCTCAAATGAGACCACTGAAGGGGTTTTGTGACCTCCTTCTAGCTGAGAAAAATTCGTGCAAATCGAAAGCAATTTTGATTTTTGTAGAAAATTAGATCCGAAAACTCGGTTATATTACGAAAATCAAAATTGCTCTCGGCATTTATAATGGCATTTTAGATGCTTGCAAATGATCATCTGTTGCATAGATAGGAGCTGTAGAATAAAATTAGTCAAAATCCGAATTTTCTGTGTAGGTTCATAAAAAATCGGAAACTTGCAACAAAAATCGGAGCAGTCGGTATTGTAGGTTCTTTTACCAGCTCTTTCTAACAGTGCAAAGTTTGCGCCGATTAAGCGTCTCTATGAAACGCTACGATTTTCGAGCAAGCAATACGAAAGAGCGAATTGGATTTATTTTGGCATTTTTCAGGGAAACCGTAACTTTTCATAGAGACGCTCAGTCAGCGCAAGCTTTGCAGTTTTAGAAAGAGCTGGTGAAAGAACCTACAATACCGACTGCTCCGATTTTTGTTGCAAGTTTCCGATTTTTTATGAACCTAAACAGAAAATTCGATTTTGATTAATTTTATTCTACAGCTCCTATCTATGCAAAAGATGATCATTAGCAAGCATCTAAAATGTCATTATAAAGAGCATGACCTACTCTTTCATACAAAAATAAGAGCGGTCCAATCGGTTAGAAAATTCAGAAGTTATGAATTTTTGAATTTGGTGCGAAAAGAACTTTCGGTTCAACCTAATACTTCCACAATTTTTTGGTGACCCTGCTTGAAAAATGCCAATCTTGAGTAATTTTCTTTAATTGCTCCTAACTCGCGAACTTTCTTAAGCCAATTCATGACAGAGTTTTAAATGCTTTTCTCTCTCCCCAATACTTCCTACATCTTCAACGGATCTGCCCATGTTTATTTTCAAATTCATATTTCCAACAGTACCTACCTGAAGTACCTTTCAATGGAAGCAAGCTCCAGAGATAGAAGCCGGGAAAGAAAACTACTCCATTTTCAAAATTTCTGCGTTTGGTCGCAAAACTGGAACAACGGAAATCGGAGCATTATAGGTATTATAGCCTGCTCTTTCTGGCTGTGCCAAGTTTGCGCTGATTGAACCTGAAAAATTATGATTTTCGAAGCAAATGCCAAAAAATCATATCGACTTTTTTACGGCTTCCTCAAAAATCATAACTTTTTGAAAGACGTTCAATCAGCGCAATCTTTGTACATTCAAAAAGAGTAGGTAATGAAGCTATGATACCGATTGCCCCGATTTTCTGCAAGCAGATTTTTGCGACCAAACGCGGGGAACATCGAAATGAAGTAAGTTTCTTCACCGACTTCGATCTCTGAAGCTACCAAAAACTGCCTTAGGTACCAATAGAAAGAGCGTGTCTTCTTTCAAAATAAACATGTGCAGATCGGATGTGAAGGAAGAAAGTTTCGAGAAAAGGATGGAGATGAGCTTTGGTTTATTAGTATTTTGTAAGTAATGATTTATGAAAATTCAACGATAATTTATGATAACTTCTACTTACACATAGCTGCTTAGAGTCTGACACATACCTGTTTTGTGTGGAAAGTGCTGGAATATTAGACTAAAACAAAAGTTTGTCGCTCCAAATTTGAGAACTCCAAAAAAATTCAAGTCGATGTAAAGCCTTTATTTTTGCAGAAAACTCTTGTAGTTTTCAAATCTGTCTCAGAGCTTCTCTTGTTGAGATTTTGAAATTTCCCAAAATTTTAAATAAATCATCCAAATTTGCTCCTATTTCTTGGCGAAGAAGTTGCAAAATGGAACACTTGCGGCAAAGCAGATTTACATCAAGAAATTTCGATTAAATTCTTATTGCAGAAAGCAAGGGAGGCCGAAGCCGGCTTCAGTCGCGCGGACAAGGCCAAAATGACACCCGATAAGTGGAAACGGTTTATTTCCCTACAGGACCATCCTCCGTTTGAAGCGCATATTATTCTTTGTGAATGGGATTGTTATTGTTGTTTTTATGTTATTCTTCCATTATTCCTTACTTTATTCCTAATATCCGCCGATTTTTTCCAACCTTATTCGGTTATGCATACATACACGAATGTTTTGTGGTTTTATGTATATATATTTTTTGAGAACATTTCATTGATCTGTTAATTTGCAAGTCTCAGCCTCAGCCTACAGTGAATACACTGTGCCATTTGCTCTCTCAATAAAACTGCTGTCTACGTCTCTTAGCATCTAGAAAGTCTAGAGGAATTTCCACATCAAAGGAATAATGCCATAGTAAACAGCGAAAACCTAGTATTGGAAAGGAAATCCTAGTATCAAAAAGGAAGCTTGATATGGAAGAAACGGATCGCGGATTAAAAGCGCAAAGTGCTGCGAAAATCCTGCGAGCGCTGCGGAAACCCTGCACCCTGAGATTGCAGGGTTTCCGCAGCGCTTTCGCAGGATTTCCGCCGGGTCACCTGCGGAAACCCTGCGAAAGCGCTGCGGAAGTTCCGGCCAGTTGTCTGAGTGAGCAGAAACCCTTCTTTCACCTACCGCTCCTCCTCCAAAAAAGAGAATTGTTTTTTTTACGATATACGAATGATCTTACACTATTCGTTATGTAATATGATCATCTTAAAATGTATGAGTTCCAGAAACATAAAGAAAAATAGCAAGGCAGTGAAAAGTAAGAATTCAGTGAGTAATATAGTAGACTGGTTTGGGTCTTGTCGTTCATAGATGGTTAAAATGACTATTATTTGATCTAAATGGAAACGACAAATTCCTCAGTCCATGGTTGACGAATAATCCGGCGCAAGAACTACAAGTTTGGTGAGCAGTCTTGGCAAAAGTGCACTCGTATCAAGTTTACGATACCAGCAATCACCTTTGCAGAAATAAATGCGAGTGAAAAATGATTCATTCGATTTCAATGTCCTTCACTAGCCAAGGTGAGCCATTTCGCCCACTTTTTACGCGCACAGCAACGTTCGCTAATGGGCGAATTGAAGTTGACTTGTGTTTTGATGCAAATTGACCCTTGATGTGGTGGTCCACATAACCTTGGAAAGAATTTTACCATTAGCTGTAGATATTAGCTATTACTAGAAAATTCAAGAGAATTGGAAAAAAACGCATGCATCCAGGGAGGAGGTGGGGGGAGGGGGGGTGAGGAAGGCGGTTGGACTGAGAATCGAAGTGCAAGATTTACATAGAATCACTATGTCCGCTCTCGGAGAAGGTTGTAAATGCAAAGAAGATGAGACTGACCGTGTGAGCGACTGAGAATCGCGCTACTTCAGGGAGGCGGGGGGGGGGGGGAGGGGAGGAAGGAAGGGAAGCCTTTGATGGCTAGAAATATAATAAGTAAGGGACCATGCTGTGTTGGCTTTGAAGTTTTACGCTACTCATTCATGGAAAGCAAAAGTTAAATTAATTTGCACATAGAATCTTGTATTCCGAAGCTTGAATATAGCTACAGAATTTTGTGTGATTTGAGGGAAAATAAAAAATAAATAAAGTGTA